AGATGCCGACGAAGTATTAAAGACTCTCTGATCGAGTCCTGGATGGCATCTTATTTGAATTTTATGCTCATGTAAATCAGTTATATTGCTTAAAGACCAAAAAAATTTACTATACGGATTTACCTTCAAGATTTCGATTAGAAGAAATAAAATAGATTCTACTAGGTGTTCTGAAGTTTTCATACGCTTATCTAGTTCATTAGCTGTATTATAAAAATATAATTGCATATAACAAGGCGTATTATTATCCGGCATAAGTTGATTTATATAATGATAAACTTGTCCCTGAATTCTAAATGTGTAGATACCTTTGTATACTTTAAATAGTTCTTTATCGTACTTTACACCAAATGAAGTGAACGCAAAGTGGTTATTATATGAACGTGCATATTTTTTAAATTTCATAGATACAGGCTCTTTAGACGTAAATAAAGTATACAATTCATTCGATGTATCGGGCATAAAAAGTTTCACCCTTCCATCAAAACAACAAAAACTTTTAGTCTCTCTATACAATTTGCGTGCACTACAATGCTTACAATAAGCACAAGTTGGTAATACATATGTAGTTGCTGGTATATTTAACAAATTAGAGCTTCCATGTAATTCAGAATAAAAAATATCTATCATTTCTTCATTCGAAGTAGATGCCTCAGAATGTATTATATATTCATGCACATAATCAACTTCAGAAGTATTATTTGTAGATAACATAGGATCATTAATTCTTTTACGACGATCAATACTTACAGTTTCATTTCGATATCTCCTATCCGCATGCCTTCGATTTTGTTGTTGCCGAAGGAAAACATTATATGATTGACTTGTGCTTTGGGACAAAGTTGGAAGATCAAAACGACCAGACTCTTCATTCATAGATTTTTCGAAAGAATCCATGAAAACAATGAACTGACCTCTGATTTCAATAATAGAAGAAATTATGAATTTAATTAAAAACCAACCAATAATGATAATATTACATTAAACATAGTATAAACTAAATTGACTGACAGATACATATTAGGAAACATTCCGCAAATCAACAATCCTCTTCGAAAACACACGTAAAAAAAGAACAATAAACTGGACGATAACAATCAAACATTCCTATACCAAACTATTGTAATCTTCATTAAACATAAACAACAACTTAAACTTCTCATGTAGATAACGGTAAAGAAAGAAAGATGTAGCCAAGTTGTATACACAAAACAAAAAAATTATGTTACATTATCTAAACCTGAAAAAAATAGTAAAAAATAAATACATATGAAAGAAAAAAATAAAACCTTCATAGCTATATCCAACAAATAAAGAAGAATTTACTTAGATTTTCATGTATATATAGAAAGAATAACATACCTCACATTACGTAGAAAAATATGAGCGAAGCTAAATTTTCATATGTAGACAGAATAAAAAACAATATATGTTAAATAAATAAATAAATAAATAACACAAACAAAAACTAAAATTTCCAAGGACATACCCAAACACAATCGTTACAAATTCCATAATTTTCTTCTTCAAGATTGAGATGATGACTATACGAATTTTTTTCGTACAGAAAGAAAGAAGAATATTGAAAGTTTTAAATATGAAAAGTTCTTTCATAGACAGAAGCTTAAATTTTTTGAAGACAAATCAATCTAATTTAAGGAAGGAAAGAGATTGGATAACTTGAGAAAGTGATAGATAGTACATTACTTTATATATTTTTTATATCTTCTTTTATTTATTATCTATTAAATGAAAAAGACAAACCATTTGAACCAAACATTTCAAACCAGTTCAATGTGAAAACGTACGTGACAAAAATATCATTCTGAGTTTTTTTTTTTTTTTTTAACAAGAAACTATACAATTTCCACCAATCCACCGGAAAAGAAGTAAAAAAAATATAATAAATACAAATAATTAAAATTGAAAACATTTTAATTAAGCAATTTATTTAGAAAAAAAAAAGGAAAAAATTTATACTCGCAAGTAACTTGGAGCAAATTTTCTACTCGTAAGTAACTAATTACATTTTACAAATATATACTTAAAAATCGAAGTTCATATTTTTCACTTATAAATAGCTTTTACAATTACATTTTTAAAAAAATCAAAGTTACAATTACAATTTTTTTTAACTCTGATCTGAAATAATTTTTAATATTTTTTTTACATACTACTATAATAGTAACTCTTTACATTTTAGATTCTAAATCTCTCATATATAATTGCAAAAGCTACTAATATATATAAAAAAAAATGTTAACTTAAAATTTGTTAAGTATAAATATTTAGATATATTTAGTTTATTAAATTAAATCTTAATAAAAAGGTTACACTATAAGTAAAAAAATTAGCTAAAGTTATTTAAAAGTAATAAAAAAATTATAATGGTAAATGTTATTTATAGGTAAAAAATATAAACATTAACATTTGTAAGTAAATATTTAAATATATTTAATTGTTTAAAATTAAATATTAATAAAAGAATTTACGAAAAAAAAAGTGCCAATCCTCCGTGCACGGAGGTTTACTACATGTTACCTTTTTTTTTTTTTTTTAACTTATGTTTTTATGTTCATTTTCAGGCTCATTACGGGATATCAAATGAAGTCGAAATATTACATTCTTAGTATCAAATTGAAGTACTCGCGACATAGTATTACATGTCGTTAACGGTGCGTGAAACGGCTAATCGTATCAAATGTTACCGGACATCAAAATAGGCATTTTCAAAATATATTTTGAAATTTTCGATAACAAGCTAACTCTAAAAATTCATCGACCATTATACGATAGTCGAATCGATAAATATTTTACATTCTCTCAAAACTCATTTCGAGAAATATATCATAGACACATCGAATGATGTAAATTAATATCGAAAATAGTTAAACGGACATTAAACGTATGTGTTAAAAAATGCGTATAAATCGTTTTTTTCTTTAAAAAATTAATTATTTTATTACTATTTATTATTTCTTCACAACAATTTTCTCAATACATCATTTTGCTCAAGAAAAATTATGTGGTATTATGTAATTTTTTTCTCCATACACTAAGTGAATATGTTTTTTTTAACATTTTATTTACAATAATTTTGTTTATTAATATAATTTTCAAAATTTAAATATATAAGATATGATTGATAGTTAATAGCGTGAGAATTAGGAGAAAGAGCATGGTGTGTCAGATTCAAAGCAACAGAGAAATATTACAGTGGAGAATAACGTGTGACAAAAGTCCTACAATATTTTTGAATAGCATTGTTCCTGTTGCCAAACCAGTTTCCGAACCAATTAAGTGTGAAAACGAGTGTGACAAAAATAAACAGTAAACCCTCATTCTCTCTTATATGGTAGTGTAGAAAATGAAAAAATATTTTTAATTATAATCGAATTTTTTCATCATTTTCTATCTATAGGGGATGTTTTAATAGAAATATTTTTGGAATGCATTTTGAATAGTAGATTGATAGAGAATGTATGGTAAAAAATTAAGGAAAATTTTTTACTTTGCGTGTAATATTATTTTTATTGAAAAATATGTGGTTGAAAATGAGTTTTGAAAAAATAAATTTTTTAAATAATGGGGGCTCAAACAAGGGCTAAATGTCAACAATTGATGTACAAGAAACATAATTCTACTACTATAGTCATTAGATAAAAGAAAATGTTTGTCGTACATCATCATTTACATATTTTTTGGGAAAATTGCAACAGAAACCCCAAACTTTTTAAACACTAGCAGACTTTCCCTTAACCTTTCATTTGTTGCAACCGTCACCCCAAACCTTTTCAAACGTTGCATCTAAAGTCCTTTTGGATGGAATCTGTTCAAATTTCCATTAGTTTACCTAAAAAAGTGATTTTGACTAGAAAAATTAAATTTGACCACATTTAACTCAATTTTAAAAGGGCAAAATAGTATTTTAATATTTTCTCCACCCACTTTTCCTCTCTCTCTCCTCTCTCTCTCTCTCTCTCTCTCCCCTCTTTCCTATCTCTTCCCGTTGTCTGTGTGTCACTCCAACAATACCCTTTTTTTTTGTCAACTTAATATGTATTTAAACTAGTGGTTGAAGCAAAACCCCTTTGTGTAAAGTTGTTATTAGTTTCTAAATGAGACACGGGGTGCGACTCTTTTGTATGGGACCTATTGATAATGGCCACCGCCTCCGACGGCTTCTGAAATTCAGATCATGTTCTGCAGTGGGAGGAGCTGCCCTCAATTGACTGGAGGAGGTGGTAGCTGTGTGTGGATTTGTCGGAGAGGCAGTGGTATGAGGGTTGCGAACTCTGTTTCTTGATGGCGTGAAGGAGAAATGAGATTAAGCCTTCCATTTGTGGATTGTATTGATGATCTTTTGTAATAAATTATGAATATAAAGTAAAAAATTCTCGATTCAATATTTATAGCTGCAATCTTTGAGGTGAAGTGGATTAAATGCTTGTCTTATTCTTTCTCACAGAAAACGGGAAGAGATAGGGAAATAGGAGAGAGAGAGAGAGAGGGAGGGAGGGAGGGAGGAGCGAGAAAGGGAAAGTGGGTGGAGAAAAATTAAATTACTATTTTGCCCTTTTAAAATTGAGTTAAATGTGGTCAAAATTAATTTTTCTAGTCAAAATCACTTTTTTAGGTAAACTAACGAAAATTTGGACAGATTCCATCCAAAAGGGCCTCAGATGCAACGTTTGAAAAGGTTTGGGGTGACGATTGCAACAAATGAAAGGTTAGGAGAAAGTCTGCTAGTGTTTAAAAAGTTTGGAGCTTCTGCTGCAATTTTTCCTTTTTTTTTTCTTGCAGATTGACGAGGGTCAAAAAAATATGGAAGTTTTATCTTTTTATTTATAATAATGCTACTTAACCATTGCGCTTGACACTCGGCTTGACCGCATGAGGTGGAAAATTAGGTAAAAAAAAATAAATAAAGAAAGAAACAGAACAATAAAGAAAGAAAGGGGTGGCACATATTTCAACCGGGTCACACCTATAATTGGACCATTTTGCTTCAATTTTAGCGTGCAAATTGGGCAAAATGGTTCTAGGGCACTTTTGGCACTATTTTCATTTTCGGTGGCTTGAAACCCGATTGTATCTCCTTCTCTCCTGTGATTGAAACGAGTGATATCAATTTTCGGTGGCTTGAAGATAAACCCATCTGCATCTCTTTCTCTCTCGCGACTGAGATTTCCAAACACGCATTTTCGATGGCTTGAACTCTTTCAAGAGACTAAGAATCATATCAAATGTCGAGTTTCTGCAAGAATAGTAAGTAGTTGCATTGTAAATTGGTAATATCCATTTTTGGTAGCTTGAAAAGAAACCCATTTGCATCTCTTTCTCTCCCATGACTTAGATTTCGAAACACCCATATTCTGTGGCTTGAAGTGCTTTCAAGAGAGTGAGAATCATATCAAATTTCGAGTTTCTTCAAGAATAGTAAGCAGTTGCATCTGTTCCACTACCGTTTTTTTGTAAGTAGTTTCCACTAATTTATTTATTTATCATTTTTACACCATTCTCCAGCGGCGTCAAAGACAGGGGAAAAGCTAGCATCCAACATCTGGCTACATATCTACTGCACCTAACGTTGTTCACCCGAGAGATGATTGAAAAAGGTATTGGTTTGCATTGGTTTAATGATTTTGTAGTTTTTGGTGTAAGATTTCTAATGTTTTGCAATACTATGACTTCATGACTCTAGTGTAAGATTTAGGGGATTTGTTGTGTGATTAGCTTAGGTGGTTTTTATTTACTTTTTTCATTTCAGCCATGGTTATTGCACGCTGTTAAATTTGAATTATCGTTAGATAAATTATTTTATTGTTGTACATTATTCGACATTGTAATTAATTTGTTTGTTGGAGGGAAAGAAACTTTGGAATATGAAAATAACATTATATCGGTGGAGTCCGATGATGAAAATGTTGTGGATAATATGAGCATACAGGGTGATGATATGTTAGTTGGAGATGGTGCGATTGTGCCCGAGATAGGTATGAAATTTAAGGATGCAAATGAAATGTTCGAGTTTTACAAAAGATATGCATACAAAATTGGTTTCCCAGTTAGAAAGAAAAATTCGAGAAAGGATGATGGAGTATTGAGAAATATTACATTTGTTTGTAGTCGTGAAGGGAAAAGAATAAAAAATACAAGCGGTTCTTTGAAGCCCTCAGCAACCATTCAGAGTGGATGTAAAGCCAGGATCACTGATGTTCAGATATTTGCGGAATACGAAAAATTAACACAGTATACCTGGGTCACAATCACAATACAAGCCCTTCGAAATCTAGGCTATATTGATGCAACCGAGAGTTAAGTGCACATGTGAAACGACGACTTGAAGTAAATGACATGACAGGAATTTCGTTGCACAAGAGTTACAACTCTGCAGTTGTTGAAGCAGGGAGATATAGGAATATGACTTGCATTGAATGAGATTGTTGAAACTATGTCGAAAAAGTGAGACGATTACGACTTGGAGAAGAGGCACATCAGCAATGCAATCATACTTCTCTAAAATGCAAGCACGATACTCGGGCTTTTACTTTAATATGGATTTGGGTGACGATTTGCGTCTAAAGAATGTTTTCTAGGCAAATAATAATAGGAGTAGGCAGGCATATAAAGAGTTCGATGACGTTGTCACGTTCGACACCACGTATCTCACTAATAAATATGATATGCCATTTGTCCCTTTTGTTGGAGTGAACCACCATGGACAGTTGACACTCCTTGGATGTGGTCTGGTATTGAATGAGGATACAGAGACATTTGTGTGCTATTTTGGACATGGCTGTAATGTATGTATGGACAAGCTCCACATGGGATAATTACAGATCAGGATAGGGTTATGCAAAATACAATACACATTGTGTTCTCCAATACAAAGTATAGATGATGCTTGTGGCACATACTTAAAAAATTGCTTGAGAAGTTTGGATGCCATGTGGATAAGAGTTCCATATTTAGTACTCTACACGGTTTGGTCTATGATTGTCAATTTGCGGAAGAATTCAAAAACGACTGGAGAGTGATGATCGAAACATTTAACTTGTATGATAATGAATGGCTGGCGGGTTTATATGAGAATAGGGGACGTTGGGTACCTTGCTTTTTGAAAACTACATTGTGGGCAACGATGTCAACAACTCAACATAGTGAGAGTATGAATGCATTATTTGATGGTTATGTACATTCGAAGACGACATTGAAGCAATTTGTTGAACCATACAAATGAGCATTGAGAAATAAGGTTGAGAAAGAGTTTCAAGCGGACTATCCTTCTCGCAAATGGTGCCGTGTGCAACGAGATATGAAATGGAGAAACAATTCCAAGCAATTTACACAATTTCAAAATTCAAGGAAGTTCAAGAAGAGTTCACAGGTAAGGTTTATTGCGACCTCATATCTATTTTGAAGGGACCATCGGGGACGACTTATGAGATACGAGAGGATGTAATACATGATGAGCGTTCGAAGAAAAAAAACTTTTTCTTCTCATTTCAAAGAGACGGATGTGAAATCACTTGCAGTTGTCACAATTTTGAGTTTCGAGGGATTATTTGCAGACATACGATCACAGTATTGATTTGTAATGATATCAAATCTGTACCAGAAAGGTATATTATATGGAGATGGCGATGAGATGTCAGTAGAGCCCACACGACGGTAACAGTGCATTATGATGCTATGGTTAGTATTCCTAGACAACTGAGGTACAACAAAATGTGGAACATGATGGCAGATGATGAAGTCAAATCCAATGTCATAATTGAGTGGATCGATAGTCAATGTAAAGAAATGATGATGTAGAAGTCAAATAGTAATAGTAATATCCTATCCCCGCATATTACTCAGACATCATCCGAGTATGGAGCATCACTGGATATTGGAAGTGGTAGCATCAGGGATCCAGAATGTGCGAAAAGAAAATGTGCCCCTAGGAAACTTCAGAAGAATAGCCCATTGGAATCAAGTATGAACAGAGTTAAGGTAATGCCCAGATTTTGGTATCCAAATGTTGTAAAGTTATTGTAGAGATAATGTCTAATACCATTCCCTGTTTTGTAGCCAACTTCGAGTTCAACGAAGGGAAGAAATCGAAGGTTCGTGCAAGTAATATGGGAACTGATGCACCCATCGTTTAGTTACCTCAACAATTACACGTGCTGCTACCTTTCTCAAATACACACTTCCTTATGGTTAGTACTCAGTGTATGGTTTAATTGCATTGAAAATATACGATGCACTAATAATGTTATTTCATGTAGGGTGGCAACCAAAATCTTCAATTCACTCAACACTTGCAGTCCACATGTATCAACCCTCCATCCTAACAAGTCTTCTATTCAATATGCAAGGTAACATAGTTGTTATATAGAACATAATAGTTTACAAACATTATTCATTACTATGTAATAAACAACCTTAAGTGGAGTTGGCATTTGAAGGTTTGGCTAGAAGACATATGAATGATGCTGCTGACAATGAAACACGACAGTTAAATACAGATGCACTTGCAAAAGTTGGACCTTCTATAACATCATCAACCCCAATATATGAGTTCTAGACATGTATCTGGACATCTTCACGTTGGCTAAACACTGAGGGATAGCTAATCAAGAATATGGTTTTTGGTATTTATGTAAGTTGCTACATAGTACAACTAAAGAAATTATTGTTTTCGGATTCCATCGAAAACAATGCTTAATCTGATAAAAGTGGGTAATTATTAGGAAAGCGCTTACATGTTTTCAATATGACAAGGCTGTGCTATAACCGTATGATAAAAGTGGGTAATTATTTGCCATCCTGGCGTTACCATATGATATGGATGCACACAACTTGTGTTGCAGACTTTGGAGTGCACAATGATAAGCTTCATTGTACCTAGACCTAAGTCAGAGTTTCTAATATTTTTGTTGGACATCTAATGCTGCTAAGTATTTTTCTCCCCTCTTTTACAGAATAAGATTTTTATTTGTAGGGTTAGAGTGATTGGTTGTGGATTGAATTAAATACTTGGCACGTACATATAAAGAGACTGGAGAACATATTATTTTGATATACCCTTTGATCCTTTCAGCTTCTGATTGCATTTGTTGCTTAGTTCGAATTTGGAATAGCTTAATAATTGAGTTTGTATGATCTCTTAGTTACGAATTCAATAATGACATCAGATTACTTGAAGTTGAGTTTGTTTACTTCGGTTGGAAATTCCAAATCAGATTACTTGAAGAAGTTGAGTATGTTTACTTCTGTTCGAAATTCCAATGAACTTTTTCAACTTCCAACAATGGAGAACAAGCTGACTATTCTGCAGTTAATTTATTCAGTTAAGTTTTTATTATAGTTGTGTGATTGACGATTTGTTTTTATTCAAGTTTTGGGATCAACTTCTTGGTGTTTTTCCATAGATATATCATACTGATATTTATCCCCAAAATACAAAAATGGAAGCAGGTCTTTTCAGGGGCGGATCCGGATAGTTCGAACTGTAGGGTCAAAAATGAATTTTTTTTCTCACAACGTATTATTAACGAAAATAAAATCATATCCTATTACAATAGGATTTGGATTTGGGCTTTTTGGGTATTGAGCTAGGGAAATTAATTGGATTGGCTTACTACTTTGGCAGAAAATTACGTTTTAAGCAAGAGGGGGGAAAAAAAAAAGAGAGAAAATTCAAAAAACTGTGAGGTCATTTGACCCCATGTGGGTCCGCCAGTGGGTCTTTTTCAATTCTTAATTTGGAGTAATGAATTTAAATTCCCTATTTAATACAGTTACTTCTCCAAGATGGAATTTAGCACCAAGAAGACAACTTTTTGGGGAACTATTTTCATGCATTTCGATTCTTTTAAAATTGTAATTCATAAATACAATCACACTTGAAGGCGATTTTTGTATAATCAAAATAGTCAGTAATTTTCGTTTAACCAAATTTTCAATCATAGTGTCACACAAGCGCATCAAATAAATAAGTCATTGAAAACATAAACAATAGCAAAGTCAAAAACTTTACCCTAAGCATCTTCTCGTGAACAATTTATTATACTGGCAAAAGCAAACACAAACAGAAAATCAACTAATAAGGAGTCCGCAGTTCACAAAGTTTCCAGTAGAAGCATCCCAAAAACCCATAAACTAAATCATCAAACCAACAGTTAATTCAAAAGCTTTACCAAAAATTCCATCTAATTAAACATACACATACACATACACATACACATACACATGAAATAGCAAAGACAGTTCAATTTTTTTGGGCCGGGTATTTGCCCAGTTTTTTAAAATTTGAAGTTCAAAACAAAACTGGGCGATTTAACCCGGTTGAAATAAGTGCCCCCTTCTTTCTTTTTATTATGTTTTTTTTTACCTGATTTTTCACCTCATGCGGTCAAACCAAGTGTCAAGCAGAATGGTTAAGTAGCATTATTATTTTATTTATTTGATAAGATTTTGACCCAATGAAATATTGTCACATCATCGATTAATAAGCAAATCTATAAATAATAATGTACATGCAGTACAATCGATCAATCAGAATGAATCGAATTTAAGTGTAACGGACTCAATAATTTTGTTATTTTTAGTATTGCTTTATTTATATTTGAAAATTAATATGTTGATTGCAATTATGAAATTTACATGAAAATAAAATTGTCAATTAAATATATTTGATTGATTTTATTTTCCACCTAAAAAAAAAGTTATACTTGTTTATTTTTTATTGATAGATAGATAGATGAGAGAGAGGGATAGCAAATGAGAGAGAAAGAGAGAGTGAATTACATAAAAAATAATAACTCACTCCCCGTAAAAAATATATGGTCAAATAACCAAAAGTTAGAAAATATTTTTCATTAAAAAAAATTACCCACAACTAGGAATTTGCATTAAAAAATGACATTTTTCATGAAAAAAATTGAAAATCAAATGCACTCTAATATCAATTTAACTGAAATTAAAAATAATAATAATAATAAAATTGACAGTTAACTTTTTGGAAAACATATCCATGAAGAATATAATTTTTCTCAAAAAAGTAAAAATCGCCTCTCATCCTAATGCAAACTTATACTGATCATATGTTAATACATTCATATAAAAAAGTAGCTTATGAGTTCACTTATATGCCACTCCAAGCCCGCTTGGAAGAAATCATGTATTAGTATAAGATTACAAGAGTCATAACTATTTTGACAATTTGCGGTTGTAATGGCATTCAAAACTGCATCAATGGATCCACTTAAAGGCATTGCTGAATACCAAAATTTCCAGTAGTGAATTGGATAGTTCCAAACTTAAAAAAGAAAACAATTCTAACAGAAAGTATACTCCTCAAGAAAGGTATAACTTTTTCCAATTTGCCGAAATTGGAAATTGACAATGTTGCTGTTAGGAAGCAAACATGAGACTATCTTATGCCTCTCTGCGGACAAAGTACAGCTTGCCCATGACGTGGAGAACAGCGACGAAGGCAATAAAACCAATGCTCATTACAAGCACAACATTGGGAGAAATCTTGAGTCCCGGGGCATCATCTGTGTAGAACTGGAGCATGGTTCCACTTGCTCCACCTGCAGACCCGCCACTAGTAGTTCTTCTCCTACGCATGTTAGCAGCAGCTGCTGCTGCAGTTCCTCTCTGGGGAGCAGCTCCACCAGTAGCCATTTCTGCACCCATCACATCAACCTTCAGAACCAAGAACTTCTCTACTAATAATATATACCCAAGCCAAAAAAAAAAAAAATGCTCGTGTAACTTGTAATTGGAGAAAAGTAACAGAGGTAGAATGATGCTAGA